CTCTCCCTCGCTCTCTCCTGCAGCGAGCTCGGACAAGGGGCTGTTTGAGGAGATGACCGATGACGAGGTGCTGGTGCTGCAGCAGATGTTTTTTGGGGTGGTCATCTGCGCTCTGGCCACGCTGGCCGCCAAGGGGGACATGGTCTTCACCGCCATCTTCATCGGGGGCGTGGCCGCCATGGCGGGCTACTGGCTCAGCGAGAAGGGGGACCGCCTGCTGGACGGGTTCCTGAAGGGGCGCTAGAGAGCAGGGTGGGCAGGAGGGGGTGGGGTTCAGGTCCTGTGCAGGTTTAAGGGTTCAGGAGGGGACAGGTCAGTCTCGGAGGGGGGAGGGGTGTGAAGTGGGGAATTACAGATTTTGGGGTGGGGTGGGGGCTGTGCAGTAGAGCCAGTCAGCACTGATTCCGAACGAGTACATTTCAGGTCATTGACGTCTCTAAGCGTGTCGCAGTCAGGAGTTAGAGCGCCACCTCCTGGTGGCCACACAGCGTGACGTGAGGGGCGGCGGTTTGGTCACGGTGTGTATAGCGCCTTTCCCCCACGCTCCTGCCGCTCGGGGCAGGGACGGTGAAGACGCAGCGCCCCGCGGCTCTGGTTCCAGGAGGAAGGCGGCGGTCCCGTTCTCGGAGCAGCGGTCTGGGACCCAGCGGGGGGGGCGGTGCTGCACGAGGACCCCCGCGGGCTCAGGGCAGGGAGGCAGGGAGGAGCCTGGAGCCTGCACTCACACTGCGGGGGACTGGAGCTGCTTGTTTAATGAAAGAATTGTGAATGTGCTAAATAAATGTGTTACTTCAAGTAACTACACTACACTTGTTTTAGAGGAGAGTGACTAGTTCTGTGTGAGAGAGTAGCTCAGGGGAGAGGACAGCGGGCAGTTCTGTGAGAGAGTAGCTCAGGGGAGAGGACAGCAGGCAGTTCTGTGAGAGAGTAGCTCAGGGGAGAGGACAGCGGGCAGTTCTGTGTGAGAGTAGCTCAGGGGAGAGGACAGCGGGCAGTTCTGTGAGAGAGAGTAGCTCAGGGGAGAGGACAGCGGGCAGTTCTGTGAGAGAAGCTCAGGGGAGAGGACAGCGGGCAGTTCTGTGTGAGTGTAGCTCAGGGGAGAGGACAGCGGGCAGTTCTGTGTGAGAGAAGCTCAGGGGAGAGGACAGCGGGCAGTTCTGTGTGAGAGAAGCTCAGGGGAGAGGACAGCGGGCAGTTCTGTGAGAGAGTAGCTCAGGGGAGAGGACAGTGGGCAGTTCTGTGAGAGAGTAGCTCGGGGGAGAGGACAGTACCATGGTTTACCCTGGTGAAAGCAGTGAAGGAGTAAGCTGGCAGTGGCCCTGTGGTGCTGTAAGAATGTGGCTCAAGCAGGGAGCTCAGGACAGGGCTGAGGCAGAGAAGGAAGCCGAGTCAGCGTGTATCCCCCCACAGCGGCACGTTCACGGGTCTCCCAGGTCGAACCCGGCTCTTTCAGGGACAGGACAGAGCCAGTCAGCATAACGCCTGCCTCTCCTTCTCTTCACCTCTCTCTCTGGGTGAGTGTCCTCGGCTTTCTCGCACGCCTGACCAAAACTGTCAAAGCAGATCAGTTCTGTAAACCTAAGATGTATCATAACTGTGAAAAAAATACTCAGTTTCTAAGTTCTGCTGAAAGCCCCTCGCTTTGATGACACAAAGCAGCTGTGCTTGCGTGCCTGTTAAACTTCCCATCTGAAACACTCTGGCACCAGAACCCAGGCCCGGTCTAGGCAGTAAGAAAGAAAACAGCCCAGGGTTCGAACTGAAGGAGGGGCAGAGAGAAACACATC